AATATATATTGAAAAATTACATATTATTCCTTTTAATTAGGACCATTATCACTCTCTCTAAACTAGTGTTATCAATATCATATGATACGTGATACGTTTCAAATATTTAAAATATTTCTTTTTGGTGATATATATTTATAGTTAGTGCTGTAACATACTATTTTTTCAACTTATATTTTTATTGTTCATGTATTTTACTATACACGATACAATACGATACATATAATTAGAACAGTAATACACGATATGTATCATAATTCGACAATATTGCTCTAAATTAATATTGATTATATTTATTTTCTTAATATTTTGATTTGCTTTAATCTCAACTTTTTATTAACACTGTGTTAAAAATAAGATGAAAAAAAATGACATGTGAATTGTCCATATCCAATATTCATCAAAAAGTTTAGCCTGCGTTTGGTTGTGTTTTGTAAATGTGATTTGAGAATATGAGTTTTATTTTGAGTTTGTGTGTTGTAGAATTATGATTTGAATGAAAAAATTTGTTTGGTAAAGAGTTTTGAAAATACTTTTGGAAAAGAGGTTTGATTTGAGTGGGGAATTATTGATGTGACATTTGATATGTGATACAAAAATTTACAACTCATAACTAAACATACAACTCAAAATTATTTTAAAACACATAAAAAATTTAAAAAAATTCAGAAAACATTTTTCCCGAGTATGTAAATCAATTGCCAAAAAAAAAAAAATCTGGAATTCAGAGGACATCCGGGTGGACGTCCCCAAGGACATCCAGGTGGTCTTCCGGGTGGACTTCCTCAGGCAAAATTTTGACAAAAAACGCGGCCTGTGCATCAGAGTTCTCTGCAAAGAGTGTGAAAAATTGATTTCAAAACCATAACCAAACATCATACTCAAACACACGTGTAGAAAATTGATTACAAATCACAACCAAACAGAGCCTTATTTATTTACATTTATGTGAAAAGATATGTATATATCTTTCTATCTCTATGAAGCAAATTTAGCAGGTATGGGGCATTCCCTTTGTAATTGTAATTATGTATAGTTTCCTCATTTTATTTATTTTATGACTTAATTGTGAGAGGTTATGTTGTCCACCTCTAAAACGGTTACATATGGTATGTTTTTCATAATTTATTTATAAAATTTTATAACATAAACATGAACCGTCATAACTATTTCATTATAAAAGTTATAACTTTTCTTACTATAAAATATCATAACATAAATCTGAAAGTATTGTAACATTATCATCTTTAATTTTAAAATGCACACCATAAATTCAATGTTTGTAACTTCAACACAAAATGTCCTAACGTATATTAGAAATAACTATAATCTTCATCACAAAAATCACAATTTTTTATGATGTACATGTTTTTATGGGATGCACTATAATTTTATCTAAAATAAAATCTCAATAACTTTTACATTTGAAAATAGGCTATTTTAATAATTTTTTTAACAACTTTTTGATTAAAATATGAGGAGTTGAAAAAAAAAAGTGTAAAAAGTAAAAAGAAAATAAAATCTTTAACCTTTTTTTAATTTTTTTTTTTTTTATGTTCTTTGACTTTTTAACTTTTTTTTATTTTATGTAACACGCCAAATGTTCAATTAATTTAACACCACATTAATATTAAATTTTAGAAGCATGTAATTCAAAATTTTCTCCCTTTATTGCGAACCACTAAATACTCCCAACTAAACTCAAAGGTTTACAACAACTAGAAAGCAAAGAAAGAATGAGTGGTGATTCATCCTACTAATTTTTGGACCACTAATAGCTCTAATGAGCTTAAAAAAAAAAAAAACAAACAAAACTCAAGCCAAAATATCACATCACTTTGGTGGGGGTCACTGTGCCACATCATTAGTGATGCTCTAGAGCTCCCAATTTAATGCTCTAAAACATTATTCAAGAAAGAATAATAAGAGAGTTTGGGGAAAATGGTGAGGATACGTTAGATGATTGACACCTATATACAGGGAAGAGGCATGGGCAGCAAGACGCGTGGGTAGCAAGACAGCTTGGGGCGCACATACTTTCGTTGTAGAGAAAATGTTATATCTAAATATAAGCTATACAACATAATTTGTATAAAATAAATTATGGTAATTCAAAACATACATGAAATATGTTATGATAACTTAAGATATAATATAACTCACCTTAATATTAATTTTAACTTTTTACTCCGTTTATTGCGACCTACTAAATACCCCAAACTAAACTTGAAGGTTTATAACAACAATTAGAAAGCGAAGAGAGAATAAGAGAGTTTGGGAAAAATGGTGAGGATGTGTTAGATTATTGACACCTATATATATAGGGAAAAGGCGTGGGTAGCAAGACATGCTTATAACTGTTAGTCCCCTTCAGGTAATGAGATTTAGCGGAATCGAGATTGAAAATAAATCGTAGTTTTTTTTTTCTCTCTATCTGTAATTCTGAACTCTTGTAATAAAATAAAATTCAAATGGCTATTTTCATTTTAAACAAACTTTTTAGTACCTATTTATTTTATTTCAATTTATTTTATTTATTCGCTTGCGTTACTACTATAAAAACTTTAGAATGTGGAACCTTTGAATACTAGGTTTGAATCGTGACATTTTAGCTTTTGACTACTATCCAAACTTTTCAAACTTTTTGAGATCTTCCACATTAGTCAAAAAATTAAAACTCTTACTTTAGGAAGTGCTAAATTATTATTTTTTAATTATGAAAAAATATGTAAAATAAAATAAAATGATATGACGCAGACCAGGTAAAAAGTCAATAAATTAACTTATAAGCTATTTCCCAAGAGAGCTCTAAGGTCGACAAGTTAAAAAATTATATCCAAAAGTAAAAAATTTTGGTAGTGTATGGTAGAGTTTTAAAATTGTGATTTGATAATAGAGTTGTATTTTGAGTTTATGAGTTTTGAAATTATGATTTGAAAACAAAAAATTTGTTTAGTTATGAGTTTTGAAAAGAGTTTTAATTTTTTAATGTAACATATGAAATAAAAAAAATTTGTTTGGTTATGAGTTTTGAAAAGAGTTTTCAAAACGTAATAGAAAAACTTATAACTCATAACCAAACACACAATTCAAAACTCTATTGAAAATTTTATTCGAAACTCATAACTAAACTCTTTTAAAATTCAATTCAATAAAATAATTTGTCATTTTGATCTAAAAAAATAATTTTTATATTTAGAAAATATCAAAAACAAATATAATTTTTTTTTTTCCAAATAACAAGTGACGATTGGCAATTGCCAAAAAAAAAAAGAAAAAAAAAGGTACTACTCCGGTTAATCAGCCGAATGTCCAGAAGGATGACCGGGTAGACTCAAAATTCAAAAAATTCTCTACTATCCAAACATGATTTGAAATGTGACATTAGGATTAATTTTTAAAAACTTAAACCAAACGAAGTATTGAAATGTGCACTGGAATCATATTTCCTCTTTTTTTCCTCTTTTTTCATTAAAAAACAAAAAAATCATCTCAAATTATTTATAAGTCCTATTAGGGAGACTTATGTTACATATGGTTCTACTAAAAAACTTATGTTCTCATAAGTCCTGTGGGAAGTTTGTTGACACATTTACCCTCAACATTAGTTGTTAATATCATAAATAATAGTAAAACCATATATAGGAAATTGAATGTTACCATAAATCATATATATATAAACGTAACATAACGTGACACCTACATAAACGTAACGTGACACCTATACGTAACGTGACACCTATATAAACGTAACGTGACACTTATGATCTATAGTAACATACAATTTGTATGTTACTATAGATCATATCTACATAAACGTAACGTAACGTGACACCTATGATTTATGGCAATATTCAATTTCCTATACCATAGATCATATTTACATAAACGTAACGTAACGTGATACCTACATAAACGTAACGTGACACCTATGATTTATGGCTATAGGAAATTGAATGTTACCATAGATCATATTTATATAAAACGTACCGTGACACCAACATAAACCAGCAACATTTTCACATTCAATTTAAAAAAATAAAAACTCATTAAGTTTGCGAAACGTAACGTGACGCGTTACGTTACGTTCATGCACGTGTCACGTTACGTTTATGTAGGTGTCACGTTACGTTTATATAGGTGTCACGTTACGTTACGTTTATGTAGGATCTTGTGGAATACATTCCTATCTAAATAGGACTTGAGACTCTATAAAAAATTACACAGGACTTGGCCTACCATAAGTGTCTGAAAAAGGACTTATAAATAAATCTCCCTATTTTTTTCATCTTATATTTTAATTAAAAAATTACTAAAATAATTTATTTCTAAAACAACCAACATATTTTTAATTTTTTTTTATTTATCTTTTTTTCGTCATCTTTTTTACTCACATTTTAACATTAAGTGTAAATTACAAATATATCTCCCGAGATTTGCTAAAAATATGAATTGCCTCTTATAATTTGAAAAAATACAAATACCTCCCTATCAGAATTTTTAATTAGTAGAATTAATTAAAAAACTAAAATTTCTAACTGTTCACCTATATAATAATAAAATTATCTCAATTATTAATTAAAATAAAATTTTAACATTACAAAAAATTATTAATTAACTTAATAATTTATTAATAAAAAAATTATTTATTATAAAATTAAAAATCTTAAAAGACATAATATAATTTTTAAAATCACATAAAATAATTTATAATTTATATAAACATTAAAACAGATGCGTTTGTAATTTACCCTCACCTTAATGCAGTCATTATCATGCCCTTTAGAAAACACGTTATTCGCTCTGTCCGACAAGGCAAGCATAACTTGTTAGTCCACCGACCCCCGCCACGGAAAAAAAAACTATTTTTTTGGACCAATGGGAGGGGACCCCAAGTACCCACCGGGAGTCCAAAGCTTTATTCATGCAGTCATTATCATGCCCTTTAGAAAACACGTTATTCGCTCTGTCCGACAAGGCAAGCATAACTTGTTAGTCCACCGAACCCCGCCACGGGGTGGCCCACTACTCAAATTCACCGGAACCGTTGACTCCCCATCTCACTCTCTCTCTCTCTCCCCCTCTCTCTCTACCACCGCTCCACATCACTCTCCACCGCCAACCTCTCTCCAACACCAAGCCATTAGACACACAAAAAAAGCTTATTTCATTTCACACTGTTTTGCAAATCATATTCTTCCCCTAGCTTTTCTTCATCACTCGATTCGCTATCATTTCTCTCCCTGCACAGCTCAATCGACACATACTAGTATCGATACGAACTTGACCGCTTTGCAAATGGACGAGTTTGGCGTTTTGGTTGAAAGTATTGGGTTCAAAGCACAGGGAAAATCAACCCCAATGGCCGATTTGAAGACCAAAACGAACACTAACAATCGGGGTTCTCGAAATTTCGGAATCAATTCCAGTTCCGACCTCAAACCCACTTCAGTAAATCAATCGAAATCGGTATATACTTGGAATTCAACTACTGGGTCCTTCGATGGTGATATCCACGGAAATTTTCGATCCAGTAACAATCGGAAAGCCGGGAATTTAACTGATTTTGATGGCTTTGACGACGTATTTGGTGAACCTGTTAAGACTTCGAAGCCATCAGGTGGTGATGGTTTTGATTTGGATTCAATTTTTAAGGGTTCGAATAATTTTAGTGTGAGGTCATCTGTATACGATGATGAAGATGATGATATATTTGGTGTAATGCCGGGGTTGAAGAGCTCCACAGCAGTCAATAATGATGACTTGTTAGGAAATTTTGGTGGAATGGGGTTGGGATCCAATGGGTTGAGGAAGAATTTGGGAGAAATGGAGCAAAGTGATCAGAATTTGGATGATTTGATACCTGGGTTTGGTGGAAGTAGCACTTCAAGTAATGGGTATGTGCTAATTTGCAAATTGGGTATTGATTGTGTTTAGTTTTATTAATTGAATGCCAATAATTTATCTGGAAGTTTGTGTTTATTTGCATGTATATGTCCATGGAAGAATCTGAATTCTTAGAGAGTTCAGCTGGTTGTTTCTGAATATTTAGGGAATTTGTTGGCAGTGGTGTTTGCAAAACAAATTTTCAATGATGTAACAAGTTTGGAATAGATTTTGCTGAAAATTTAATTAAGAGATTCAAAAAATTTGCATTGAATGAGTAACCGGTGTGTTCAATTGTTTTTGTAGACTTGCTTATGGAGAAGCATAGCTAACTCAAATAGGAACTTTTAGAAACTCTTAGCAATCAAAGAGTTTCTAACTATAATGAGAATCATCTCTAAACAAAAACAAGAATCGACAATACAGAGATAGAAGAAAACAAACATTTACTAACTTGTACATCAAATCACCATAAAATAACCAAACCTGAGTGGAAGTAGTTGTAAGCAGTCCTTGGCATGAATATAAGGTTTCTTATGAAAGAGTACCCATCTGATAACTCAATATCTATCAGTTGTCTCCTGAACTACGAGCAACAGAGGCATAATTAGTTCAATATCAGTATCGTTTCTGTTTGTCATTTTATGTAGTGGTTTATTTCTTGCAGCATCAGTCTCTTCTCATTCTGAATTATTTATGTTCACTATAGTTAGTCTAATCTCCAGTTGTTTATTTATTTTTATTCTTTGCACAGAGAAAATGCAAAAACAAGCTGCTCTCCACTGTCAAGTGGTCGTTCAGCTAAATCAACCTCCACTTCATCAGAAGACCCTTTTGTAGTCTTAGAGCAATCTCCTTCCCAGGCATATACTTCTGGGTTGTTTTCAGAACCTGTGGAACAATATGCAGGAAAAAGCTCAGTTTTATCTTCAGTTGATGAACTTGAGGATTTTGCCATGGGTAAGGTGCGAAATAATGCAAATGAGCAATCAGATTATTCCCCGAAGGAAAGAGTTGAGACAGCTACACATGATCTAGACTTCCTTTTCAATATGGGTGCTCAGCCAAGCAGTGGTTCAAGGCATAAGTCTACAATGGCCGTAAGAACTTACAACTACAAAGCTGTATTTGGATCATGGATTTGAATAGGGAATTAGAAATGATAAGGAAAAGGCAAAGAAAATGGAGAAAAAATTAGCTTATATTTCATTCACATTTCCGTCACCTTTTCCTTTTCTTTTCCAAATCTCTATCCAAATTTATGATCCAAACATAGCCTAAAAGTTCTACCATATTTTTTAGTTGTTGGCCAAAAGCAACGGTCTAAGCTTTCTGTCTTTTTGCCTCTTTTGATTCAGGACCCTGTGTTTGATTCATTGTTCCAGAGCAGAGGAGACCCTGGAGTGAAACGAACTCCTTCTATGACTTCATCTGGTGCAAAGAAGGCTTTTCCCACTACAAATATTGTTGATGACTTTTCGCTCTTTTTTGGAGGTAACCTCGTTGTCCAAATGGGATTTCATCATGGCATTGCATAGGTCTTTTGGGGGAGACATTGCTATTGATGCTTAATGCTTAATTTTTGTTTTGTTTTGCAAAAGCTGCCCCTTCATGTGGAGAATTTCAGGAAATTGAAGGAGAAAGTGAAGAAAGACGAAAAGCCAGATTAAACCATCATATGAGGACCCAGCAGCGAATGGTATATGTTTCCCCTCATTTCATTTCACCACTAGTTGTTTCCTTAAATAGTTAAATTACATGTATCCAGGTCTTGTATGGAATCAGCATTTTATTTTATTTTATTGGCTGATGTATTAAAGAAAAAGAAAGTTTATTGAAATAGAAGAGACAGGCAATTCCGTAATGGAAAGTAGAGATGCAAAACGAAATAGTGGTATACAACTGAAAATGATATAATAGTGATCAGCTTTCGGACCATCTCAATTTGATGATTGTGACTTTGTTATGTTTTTTTGTTAAAAGGATTGCATGAAAAAAGGACATTTCCTTACCCATGTCACTATCTTATTTCCCTGAACTGCTTTTTACCATCAAAACTTGACTTTTCTTTACTCTTGACAAAGATTCAAATTGAGTATATGTTTTCATAAACGCTTACCAAATGCTACTCGCGTTGTGAACCTGCTTGGTTTTGATGTTTTCCGTTCAGGCAAAAGCTTTGGCAGAAAAGAATCAGCGAGACCTTCAGACTCAGCTGGAGCAAGAAGAGAGGCATGTAAGTATCTGTGGTGCTGAACTAAAGCTAAGCATTTATTTCTTATTGAATGATGAGACCCTTTCTCCAATTACAAGTTGTTTGTGAATTACTGATTGTCTGATAATGAGCATGTACTGTCTGTCTTGTCTCTTTTCTCTTCAATTTTTTCTTTTTTTAAAAATTTTCTTTCCCCCCCTTCCCAGTCCTGCTTAGAACCTGTTTAGAATTTCCGGAAAAATTGTTGTTTATTTGACTTTAAGCTGCATGATTTCAGAGGATTGCTGAAACTCTAGACAACAATGTAAAGCAATGGGCTGCAGGGAAGGAAGGAAATTTGCGTGCGCTGTTGTCATCATTGCAATATGTGCGTTATGACTGTATAATCTGTTTCTGATCCCTTTCCTTTGTTATTGTAGCATTTTGAATTACATATGCTCTTACTTTGAATAGAGGTTTTTTATTTAATGTTTGGGAAAACGCAATTACTTTAGGAAAGGAACTGAACAGTTGGGGCACAAGGAACACACACAAACAATAATAATAATAATAATAATAATAACAACAACAATTTGGAGCCAAGATGGATGATCATCAATACCCAATGATTAGTTAAAAGTCATCCCCTCCCAAGTGCCCATGCTGCATACTTCTGAAAATACCTGAAAGATGTTCGGCAAGATTGCGCTACTGAATACTTTATTCATTACATTTTGTATTTCATGATCTCATAAGAGAATCAAAACTTAACTCCAAGGGGTTGGCTTAGTAGGTGCAACTTGGGGGTACGCTTCCTCTAGGTCTCAGGTTCAACTCCCACTTATGTGCTATGAACTATTTGGGGCCACACTCGCGGGCTCTACCTGAGATTTGCCTGATCCATGTGAAGGAGGTGCTTTACGTGGGTCTCAAAATTAGTCAAGTTGCACGTAAGCTGGTCCAGACAACCGGTCATCAAAATAATAAATAAAATAAGAGTCTCAAAACTTTGTAGTATGGGGAGTGAGGTCTTTTAGTCTCGTGAATGCCTTTTGCATTGGACAATGTTAATATCTTTCATTTTTTAGTACACAAAATGAATTTTGTTTCCTTTCAAATTTTTTTGGTTATATATGTATGTATATGTATTATATGATATTTTGGGAATCACACACAAATCTTTATTAAAATATCAACTAATCCTTCATACATGTGGGATGATGTCCAGGTGCTATGGCCTGAATGTCGTTGGCAGCCAGTTTCATTGATAGACTTGATTACTTCTGTCTCTGTGAAAAAGGTTTATTATAAAGCTACCTTATACGTTCATCCTGACAAGGTTCAACAGAAAGGTGCCGATATTCAACAAAAGTATATTGCGGAGAAGGTTTTTGATGTTCTTAAGGTATTTTACTGGCATTCTGACAAAGTATATGGAAACATAAAATTAATGTCCTACAACTTCATATGGCATTTTTGTTATTTTGAAACAAAATGCTAGAGATCCTAAACATTCTACCAAATGTTTTGCATGGTGAGAGACATTTGGTAGAATTTTTAAGGTCTCTAGAATTACTCATTTTGAAATGCCTGTTTTATTGTCTCACCCCATTGTATATTTCTTCTCATGTAATTGAGAATTTGAGACTACTTCCCATCATAACCTTTTTTACACTGCCAAGTGGCAGCAACCGAGAAATGACATACTGAACCTGACCAATCAGACCAAAAGGCTTTTATCTAAGATAAGATTAGTAAGTTATCCTATACTTTTAAAATATAAAAGTAAAAATATTGGCTGACGAATCATAAATTATTCACCATACACCGTGTTGATTTCTTGTAAAAAGTTTTATTATTAGTTATAGTTAATTCTTCTTTTTCTTCTTCTTCTTCTTCATTTAAAAAAAAAAAACTCGAGCTTGAGTGCCATGCCAGGCATCTGCCAAAATGTGTTAGGATAAATTTTTATGGGTTTTGACCAACTAATGAATCCCTTGGGTTATACTGAGCCATATATATTTATGTTATAATTTGTTTGGTCACAAGATTACATTGTTTTCTGGGTTAAACGCGAAACTAACCTTTTCCCTTGAGAAACGAACATATAGATATTGTTGTGTTAATTCCTAAACACAAAAATGATCCTCGAGAACTGTTTTGTTGGGTCCTAGAAATTTCTTTTCATCTATTAGTTCTTGTTTCTCTTTTATTTAATTTTTATTTATTTATATTTGTATATCAAAACAGGAAGCTTGGAACAAATTCAATTCAGAGGAACTTTGAGTACAATGGTTTTTCTACTACGAATTTTGTACTGTACCCACTTCATTGAGCCTCCACACGAGCCTTCTTTGGTTCAGAAATGTACATACAATACTCGTTGAATTGTTTGAACACAACTCTCTGAATGCAGTGGGCTTAAAATTGTGTCATGCCTATTGATTAAACTGCTTTATCATTGCACGGTTCCCAATGCTTGAAGGTGGAAATGCACGAGGACTGGTCCGTTAGGTTCTGTTTGTTGTAAAATAATATTATTGATGCCAGTTTTCACACAGGAAATAATCCCACTTGCTTTTAGTGCATGATCTGTAAAAATGAATATCAATAGTGTTTGTTCATGTGTCATATTCAAAATTGATGCGGTTAATATTAGCTGGTTCTGGAAATTGTTTCTATGTTATTTTTTCTCTTTACCTTCTTTTTTTTTTTCAATAATTGTTTTTGTGATACAGCTTTTCCTGCCATTATCTGTTATAGCATAGTTTGGGAAATTAAAATCTGTTTTGTTTGGCGATCCTCTCTCTCTTAAGGGGTTGACATCGGGTTGGGCTGGTCAATTGGTTAAAACCTTAGGCCCAAGTTGGCCCATCGGTTAATGGGCTGGTTCATGATAAGGGAAGAGGGGCAATCTTTGATGGGCCAACAGGTGGCCTGCGGGCTTAGCCCGACGGGATGTGATTTAGGGTTATTCTTGTTATTTTGATTGCCCCCTAGTTTCTCCATATTTTCTGACGTGTGTGTGGCTGCCTGTCACGGGTTGGCAGGGCCAGCCCAAGCTGCAAAACCCAGGTCCAAGCCCAACCCAAGCTGGCCTACCCTACTAGGGATGTGCGCTTGGACTGGGTAAAAGCCAAGCCAGCCCGGCCTTTGGATTAGATGATGACCCTTTCTCATCCTGCAAACATTTCAATGGCAAGGCTTGAATAAGGGTATACATATATATTGGAATAAGATAAAGCAGCATATTATTGCTTAGCTATTTTTTCCTTGAATACAATTAATCATTCATTCAACATTTAGAAATCATGCAATCCAAATATTCATTCAACATATATGAGAAATTAGATGCGAGAAAGTAAAGGAATAAACGCAAGAAATTGAGGGTGATTATGCAGTATTTTCGGTGTATAAACACATGATACTCCATAAAGTTTTAATTGATAAAGAGGGGTAGTGATTCATGATTTATGTTGGGGATTGAGGAATAATATAGAAGTTAAGTAATTAGTGATTGACTTGAAATATGGCCACGTAGTATTTTAAAATTATTAAATAATTTTTCAAAAAGTGAACGGTGTTTTTTTAGGTTCAACTAAAACCTCTACAATCGAAGATTTTATAGGTTACTTTAAGTTCAAACCTCTTCAACATAACAATCACTAGTAGTTTGATTTTTTAGGCTCACCAACAACCCAAAAACATCAAGTCACAATATTTAACATTCAAAACTTGTTGGGGTGTTGGCCCAAAACCGTGTCTCGTGAATCAAACTTCAATCTTGGTCAACCAAACTCGATGATAGTTGACTAAGTTGATCTGATTTGAAATTTTTAGGCTCAATCTTAATCTTCTCAAACTTCACTTGATGCCATGCCTTTTTGAGATTAGTCTTCATGTTGGTAAAGCTTGTTTTCTTAGCACTTTTTCCAGTAATCTTTAAGGCTTTCGAAGGCTTTTTAGCTTAACGTTATGCTTTCTTTAATAGAGGCTTGATTTTTTTAATTTTTTTTTTTTTAACCTTAAGTTACACGTACATATCATGAAATTGCTAATCTACATATCATGAAATTGCTAATCTATTGTATTTCTAATTCTTCAAAAACTTGGTTCGTTTTCTCAGAAGTTTCTAAACAAAAATTTCGTTCCAACAAGCTTCAACTTTTCAAATTGATTCAATTTAGCCATTCTATTACATTATGTCCACTTTTGACACTTGATAAATGAAAAATTGATAACATTAATCTCCAAACCATTTTTCCTAATATATATAAATCATTATCGACATTAAAAATCTATACTGGTGAAGGAAGAGGTGTTGGTTCTATGATTTTTTTTTTTTTTTTTTTGGTTATTAAGAAAAAAAAATTATGACTAATTTACAATTTATCCTTCAGAAAGTGGACGAAATATAATAGGAGGGTTTCATTTAACTAAATTGGGAACTTAGAGGGCATAATTTAAGAGCTTAATAAGAAAATAAAAAATTCAATTACTTTTGACATAATTTACCCTTTCTTTAAACCTGTCTTCTAGAACAACCCATTATAATAAATAAATAAATAATTAAAAAAATCACATTTTAGTATACTATAGTCTATAGATATATATGCAATTTTTTTATCTGTAGAAATGTTAGTCCTAAAATCAAAAAAGTAGTCTAGTGGTAATTGCAATTTTTTATCTGTAGAAATGTTAGTCCTACAATTTTAGACATATAAATTTATTTACAATAATGTGATAAGAAAGTTGAATCATATATGATTGAGTATATCACAAATAAAAAATCGACACTTATTATATTATATTATTATGGATCAAATTAAAAAATCTTTTTAAAAGCGTCTCAATCTGTTTTGTATATTTCTCTATGCTAATAATGACATTTAAGACATTGTTTTATGCAACATCGATTTGGTTGGGTAAATCAATCTTCAGCTAATCATTAATTTAGTTTCACAAAAGATTTTAGCACTCGTTTGGGAAGAGGCTACGGGATTAAAATAACTATAAAAAGATAAAATAGACTAAAAAATCAATAAGATTTTCAAATTGATTCAATTTAGCCATTCTATTACATTATGTCCACTTTTGACACTTGATAAATGAAAAATTGATAACATTAATCTCCAAACCATTTTTCCTAATATATATAAATCATTATCGACATTAAAAATCTATACTGGTGAAGGAAGAGGTGTTGGTTCTATGATTTTTTTTTTTTTTTTTGTTATTAAGAAAAAAAAATTATGACTAATTTACAATTTATCCTTCAGAAAGTGGACGAAATATAATAGGAGGGTTTCATTTAACTAAATTGGGAACTTAGAGGGCATAATTTAAGAGCTTAATAAGAAAATAAAAAATTCAATAACTTTTGACATAATTTACCCTTTCTTTAAACCTGTCTTCTAGAACAACCCATTATAATAAATAAATAAATAATTAAAAAAATCACATTTTAGTATACTATAGTCTATAGATATATATGCAATTTTTTTATCTGTAGAAATGTTAGTCCTAAAATCAAAAAAGTAGTCTAGTGGTAATTGCAATTTTTTATCTGTAGAAATGTTAGTCCTACAATTTTAGACATATAAATTTATTTACAATAATGTGATAAGAAAGTTGAATCATATATGATTGAGTATATTACAAATAAAAAATCGACACTTATTATATTATATTATTATGGATCAAATTAAAAAATCTTTTTAAAAGCGTCTCAATCTGTTTTGTATATTTCTCTATGCTAATAATGACATTTAAGACATTGTTTTATGCAACATCGATTTGGTTGGGTAAATCAATCTTCAGCTAATCATTAATTTAGTTTCACAAAAGATTTTAGCACTCGTTTGGGAAGAGGCTACGGGATTAAAATAACTATAAAAAGATAAAATAGACTAAAAAATCAATAAGACAAAATATCATATCTAAATCGTAATCATTTTATTTTTTTCTCTCTTAAAAGTCAAAAAAATATTCCAAACAAGACATTTTAGTTCCAAACTAAAATAATCTAAAAACTAAAAAATTAAAAAATTAACCTACATCCCAAATGAACCTTTAGTCAAGTGAGATTGTACTTACTCATCATGAACATTTTGTAAATTTTCATTTTCCCAATGAATGAAAAACACATTTGAGAAGATATTACTTTTCTTTACCTTAATCTTTGGAGACTTTTGTTCAATGCTTTATTACTCATAATTAATTATGAAAAGAAAAAGTGAAAACAACATCCCATTCACCTAGTCGCTGGTTGAGTTGATTGGGCCAAGGCAAAGTGGGAGTGAACTTCCTGGAAAGGCCACTACCAACCTCTAATTAATGGTTTGGATTAGGACATTGGGTTAATACTCAGGCTTATTTTGGCAAAACAGTTAAAATTAGTTTTTTAATTTTTTGATTTTTTAGATTACATCACTTTTTTATTTTTTTACATATTTAAAAAAAAGTTAAAAAATCAAGTTTTAACCTACCTTTTAAAATAGACCTCAATAAAATTATTCAATAAATTTAATAATTAAGATAGATGGCATGTCACATGCATATTATAAGTCGAGATAACAATGAAGTGGGTGAGATCGGGAGATTTGTACCCCAACCTTACCCCCACTTAAGTGAACATTGTTCCCTTATTTTGCCCTGATATTGCTCCAACTCCATACCATCCTAATTCAATGTAATTCCAACCCCACCTATTGAATTTTTTAACTTATATTTTTAATATCGAATTTCAATTGATGTTATAGTCCAAAATGACAAATGTCAAATGAAATATAAAGCTCCAAGTAAACAGACTTGGAGGTTGATTGATATCGATTGGAAGTTAAATTGCATCGTAAACAAGAAGAGAGACTCCCTTACCCCATCCCTCTTCGGTTTAATACAACCCTAATATCATTCTTTTAATTTTGTAACTTTCATTTTCAGTAATGAATTTCAAAATTAATTTTATAGGGCTGAGTTTCCCTCTAGTCTGTAATCGGATTGGAGGATACTGTTGGACCCATGAGGGCCCATCACAGGTCCCGTTTCGATAATCTGAACCATTGGTCCCATTTCGATAATCCGAACCATTCAATATGTACAACTCGTTGAGTATTATATGCTTGTAAAAAATCACATTGATCAGATATCGATAGTTATCTTATCGGATAAGATTTCTGTCAATCGTTTATTTTTTCACTGTCTATTTATTTTATACAAAACTAATTTGATCACGTACCTATCGATATCTGATTAACATGATTTTTAACAGGCTTATAGTATTTGATGAGTACTATACATTCAACGATTCAGATTATCGAAACGAGAGTTGTGGTGGACCTCCTACAGGCCCAACAGTACCCTCCAATCCGATCACAGACTAGAAGGAAACAGTCCCACTTTTATAATTCAAAGTGTCAAATGACTAATAAAATCAAAACACAAAAACTCAAAATTGTCCAAACAAAATAAACTCAAGTTGTCCATTCTCATCTAAAATAAAAAATGAAAAAAAAATCTCAAGTTGCCCATAAAAAATGTAAATCATCACTATCAATATCCAAAACACAACTTTGATAAATCCTTTGTGACATGTGGGTAAAAAGTTCAATGATTGGGAAAAAGAATTCATATTAATTGGACATTTTATGGTGTGGGTGTGCTTTATGTAGTTGTAGATAAC